CAACGCGTGGGAGTAAATATACAGCACTTTGTTGTCTTGCAAGTTCAATCCTGGAACCTGCAGCAATCAGTCGACTTCGCGGAACAAACTTCGACCGACGTCCAATGCTTTTGACCAGTCGTAGTTAATTGGTCCAACGCCTTTTCCGCCGTCGTTTTGTCTAGGAAACGGTCCTTGATTTTGGCCAAGAACTGTTTCAGGGTCAATGTCTTTGCCCACTCACCGATGTCTTCAAAACCCGTGGCATTGGCCTCGGCCAACACCCACTGCTTGGCCTCACCTCCCATACAAGATGTGGTGAACGCCACTTGGGACTCCTGTTCGACTGGAGCGGTGCTTATATCCATAACCTAAACCTTTGATTCTCACTTCAACTGACTTCATTCCTAATGGAATAGCAACACGCGCTACATTCTCAGCAGTACCTTGAGCAGCATAATTGGTTGAACGACGAGATCCTTTAAATCCCATTGAACCAGAAGAGGACCAAGATTTGGTATCTCCAAAAGAATCTGTTATGGTACGTTTGGATTTCAGCAATCCACAGAGGTCGACTCTCATCTTCCTTGTTATTGAAAGTAAAAGGCAACTTCATTTTCACTCTTTCTTTCTTCTTTGGCTGCTCCGGTTCTACTCTTGTCTTTTCCAGAGTTGTTGAAGAAGAAGGAGACTTGGAAGGAGGAGTAGATTGAGAAGATTTAGGCGAAGAGGGAGATGGACTCGGCGGTCCATTCCCATTGGTCGACGTCTTAATTCTAGGACCAGCAAACTCGATGGCATCACCCATCAACTTCTTCTCTTCTTTCTTCTCTTCTCTTCTTTCTTCTCTTCTCTTTTTTCTTCTCTTTCTTCTTCCTTACCTTCTACCTGGTTCTTTCCTTTCACAATGTTTGTGATTGTTCTTAATCCTACAACAATCTCATCTAACTGAGTTTGCTGTTTGTTAATTTTCTCTTCCAAAAAGGTAAGGTAAGTCATAATATGAGACAACATATGCGACATGTCTGCTTGTTCCCCAGTTTCTGTCCCAATCACCTGTCTAATTTCTCTAACTTTATGTTCCCTCTTTTGTTCTTGTTCTCTCCTTCTTGCCAGCTCTTCTTTCTTTCTTTCTTCTGCGGCCAGCGTTTCTTTCAGTTGTTGGATGTTCGCTTCAATCGTAGCCTCGGTCACTTCTGGCTTAGTCTCACCTTTATGAGTCAGTTCAATCACTTCTTCCAACTGTTTCAATGCAAACTGGTCCAGCGTTGGACGACACTGGGTGACCAGTTTGGAGACCTCGGTCCCGGCTGCCACAACCTCCACAGCTGTAACAACTTTCTTCAGACGGTCCTCAACCGTCTACAAATCAAATCTGTTACGGATGTGTTGTTCGGCATCCGGTCCGGATAGACGCAATTTGGTCAACAGTTTGTTCCACAAAGCTAGCAATTCTTGTTTCCTATTTTCGGCCTGCGTCCGAGTCTTAGGATCGGACGGTCCATCGCCCACGGAGAGCGTGATCGGAATAGGAAACAAAAACGTGGTCACAAACCTCGTCAGAATAGACATCTGTAGATTTTTCCAGAAGTGAGACATTTTCAAAGGATAAAAACAAGAAAATTCGCCGGCCAGGTTGGTCTACCTCAAATAAATAAAAGAAGACAATTAATTGGTCACCTGAGCCGAAACAATCTGGAGCAGAAAAGCTTTCAATAAAATGGAGCAGAAAAAAGTAATTTCAATCTCTTATCTAATATGACTGCTGTTCTGTTTATTATGTGTGATGGCGTCCTATACTAGTACAGGTACTGCAACCCAGGCCAGCGTGATCATCAACAACACACAAGTGAGTACACAGGCACACAACACAGCTCACGGCAACAAGTAAGTCCTCCAACAAACAGAACATCAATAGTTAGCATCTTCCTTTTTTGATGCTGTGTCTTCTGAAGTCCGGTGTGATCACACACTCGATCTGACGTCCAGCACCACAGTCACATCAGTCTTCCAACCATGTCGCCTTCGTCGTCAAAGTGTATCTTCCCACTTAGGCACGTTCGTGCTTGCCACGTGTCACCCCTGACATGCCAACACAGCAGCTCATCGAGTCTGCCACGTCAGCACGTTCGTCCAATCATCATCATCAATGGGGGTACACAACAGTAGCGTATGCCTTGTTCGTCCACGTCAGCCAGCCTGATCTCCTGTAGCGATACCAGCACGTCGCCAGTCAATCATACAATGCCACGTCAACCTGGTAATGGAACGCCACGTCAGACAATGCCACGTCAGCCTGGAGCTCCTCACCACAATAGACGAGTGGTGAGTCAGCACTGCCACATCAGCGTTCCTCAATAATCACTAGCCATGTCAGCAGTGTATCCTGATCCCAAATGCGATCAATCGGGATCTGGATCGCAACACGATCCTGACTGGAACATCCCCTGTCGGGATACCAATGCCACATCAGCACCTGACGTGCGTCTTGAGCGCTGTCCCCTGTCCACGTCGGCACCTATCTCCAATGTAGGTGTCACCACTTGATCACATGCGCGTCAGTTGTGGCCGGGATAACGGTACTGCGCCTGTCTAGAGTCGCGTCTATAGACGCGTGCGATATCAATCGCGACGCACACCATTTCCACTTACCTTGCCACCTGGCGCGCACGTGCGTCTTCGTCGTCGTCATTCTCGTACAGGTCGTCGTCGTCAGTCACATCATCGGGAGTACAGCTCTGATACCAAATTGCAATGAACCCAGATCGTGAAGACACTTGTCAACAATGCGAGCCCAGATAAATATCAACCTGCTGATGATTGTCAATAATCATAATCGAGTCCATATGCAATGAGATGGGAAACATACACAGACGAAGGAGAGAGGAGGGAGACTAGACTTAGAGAGAGAATAGAAGATGATGCCCACTTCTGCCACGGGCTCCCCCCTCAATCACCACCTCAGTGATCAATAATCTGAACGCGAATCTCAATGTGCCACATGGCACGTCAATCAGTCCTCATCAGCGGCTGGAGCAATGTCGACGTCAGGACAACCAGGTATGTATCCACTATTGCCCCACAGTCATGATCTCCTTCCGAATGTCGCGTAGCCTCACCACGTCAGCAATAATAACAAGTGAGCAATGTCGACGTCAGGACAACCAGGTATGTATCCACTATTGCCAGTCGCGTAGCCTCACCACGTCAGCAATAATAATATACGTGACAGCGGCCACGTCAGCGGCGGTGCGTGGCAGCTTCCACGTCAACATGCCCAGAAGACAATTGCAAGCCAGCCACCATGCCGAGCCAGCAGAGCGTCGCCGTAGTTCGCCCAGTTGCCAGCGTCCAGCCAGCGTCGCAGTGTCGCGCGAGCATCGTGTCAACGCGTGAAGTCAGCATTGACGCAAGACAGAATGTTCCTCAAAGCCAAGAAGTTAGCGCTTATATAGCGTTGATGCGGGGTGTGGACCCCAGGTGCTGCTTCCCTCAGCCGTGGAGATCTCAATGCAAATGACGGCCCAGATTGGCCGGAAAACCGAATTCTCTGTGGCCTTGATGCTGTCTGGGTACATGCGCACAACAAGTGAGTGTATCCGGCCAAGGGCCTGGGTGCGATACCTTTGACCTGACAGTTGACTTAGACACTTGACTTTCCAGGGGGGGCAGTGCGTGGTCGCACTGCCTGGCACAGGCCGTGTTTGGCCTGTGTCGTCTGGGCGCAGTTTCGGGGCCCCAGACTGCTGCAGGACACGGGTTACTGCAATGCGCTCAATTTTATTTTATTTTTTAGGGGTGTGTGTATATACCAGGGGGGGGGGGGGGGGGGAGTGTGAGCGGGAGAGAGAGAGAGAGAGAGAGAGAGAGAGAGAGAGAGAGAGAGAGAGAGAGAGAGAGAGAGAGAGAGCAACGGATCCCCTTCACACGGATCAGAGGGCCCATGCAGGTAATCTGAAGGGTCCTCGCAGCAATTTAGCGTGGACCCTCCACCAAAATCGAGGCAGGCAGTGAATATGAAGTGAAGCACGAGCTGGACGAATATATACTCAGGATTCAAATTCAGGTCCTTGTTTCAGCAGTTATGGGTTGCTCGCTTAGCTAGGCCCTATTGGTCTCTGGACGTGATTCTCAGGGCTTGGCCGCACTACTCACCAAATGTGCAAAATTAGAATGAATCTTCTACTAGAACGTGGAATAATACGCCGCCATATGTGGTGAGAAGAGGCCCTAGGGCCACTGCACATATTCCTAAGAAAAGAAAAACGAGAAAAAACTTCAAAAAAGAGAATTAGTGACCGATAACCGTGATGCACAGACCTGAATTTGAATCCAGACTATATATTCTCGGCCCAAGCATACAAACCGGAAGTCTAAAGTCTGTATCTGCTCCGCGTGGGGTCCTCGCTAATTCGCTGTAGGGGCCCTTCAGAAAAGAGACTGGAGTCACTGGACACAATTAGGACATGCACACCCACACGCACAGACATGTGCCCACAGTTTTGGGGTACGTGGCCCCGACTTTTTCCCCTCTTGCTTTCTGATTTTTAGAAGCGAGGGGCGTGTTTGGCCACCCCACCCTGTCCTTCGATTTTTTTTTTTTTTTTTTTTTTGTGATGCACCGCATCACGTGTGCGCGCATGGATGCGCGTGCGCTCTGCGCCGCATGTGCGACGACCCGCGCACGGGATGCGCCGCAAGTTGCACATGTGTGTACCATTCACTCACATGGATTGGGTTGGGTTGGGTTGGGTTGCGTTGATCATTGATGTTGTGTCTTTGCTTTTTTTCAGTCACGTCTTGATGATGTTGACACTGTTTTTTTTCAATCTGTTTTGTACTTGTCGATTTGCCGGTGCCGTTTGCGTGCATACGCCTCTGTACCTTATGTTGCTCTGCCTCTGAAGTCACTGCATGCCAAGGAAGGCCGCAAGTTGCACATGTGTGTACCATTCACCCACATGGATAGGGTTGGGTTGGGTTGGGTTGATCATTGTTGTTGTGTCTTTGCTTTTTTTCAGTCACGTTTTGATGATGTTGACACTGTTTCTTTTCAATCTTTTTTGTACTTGTCGATTTGCCGGTGCCGTTTTGCGTGCATACGCCTCTGTACCTTATGTTGCTCTGCCTCTAAAGTCACTGACATGCCAAGGAAGGCCTTGAAGCAATCGGTCTTGAGTTTTGGCCAAAAGGAGCAGGTCAACTTTACAGACAGCCACGATCAGCGTGATAACGTGCTTCATTTTGAGGCGCGGACTAAATGAAATGCAGCGGGAGTCGCCTTCCATTTCCCTATTTTCTGCCATTTCTGGTTCGTTGACTTCTATTCACAATTCTGCAGATGTAACTTTGGAACAATCTTTCATTTCTGCTTGAATTGAGCATCAATTCGATTTCTTTTCTGTTATGTTACTCCGACAAACGACGTATGGTAGTTTCCTGAGAGTGCATGGATAATTTCGAGAGTATTCGGACGTTATTTGACATTCCAAGGCGAAACGATCTTCTGCACTCCTCTTCCCTTGTCATCTGGTAGGGAGCCGTGAATGAGTACGAAGAAAACCTGTTGAGGAGGGGAAAGGGTCCACCTTCCTCAAGGTAGTCACAAGTGGCCGTCAAAAAAGGAGTAGAATCAGCAAAAGATCAGCGAGGGAGCTATGAAAAAGAGACCAGATGTAGAGCTGAGGTTTTGCAGCACAGCATCCATGGCTAGAGAGAAGAGTCGATTTATATACATACATATAGATAATATCAGTTGGCCGAGAAGGTGGTTTTGTTGTGCAGGCCTGCACCTGCTGTAGTAGAGAGAGAGAGAGAGAGAGAGAGAGAGAGAGAGAGAGAGAGAGAGAGAGAGAGAGAGAGAGAGAGAGAGAGAGAGAGGCATATGACAGTCATCTCTGCACAGGGACATGGGAATTATGCCTGGGGAAGATTGGAGTTCTCCATTTGATTGTAGGTTAGCGTTTACGGCTTAGGGTTTAGGTTTTTGGGTTAGTCTGAGAAAGATTGTACGTAGACCACCCAAAATTAGATTAGATGGTTATCTCGTTTGTGTGGTTAGAGCAGTTTCACAGTAGGATCTGTTGTCCTTTCTTGCACGATGTAGGTCTCCCTGTCTTTGATTGACTCGCTTTCACACAACAGCCAGCCATCTTTTGTTTGCTTTCACACCACGATTGCTATGGTGGCTCTAGGTGAACAGAGGAAGGTTTCCAAGTGTTTCATTCATTGCCTTTGGGTTTTCATCATTGATGAAATGTCCCCATTCTTGCCGTTGTACCCCCTGCTTGGGCCATTGTATTCTCGCAAAGTTCTCATTGTGTGTTTCAGGTTCTTTTCATCTGCAAAGACTGCAATGCATGTGTTTCAGTCTTTCCGAAACGCATGCTTTTATTTGTTGACATTTTTGTGTGTTCTTTTTTTGTTGTTGCCATTTGTATAAAAAGGGAAAAAAAAAACACGCTGGTTTGTATTCAAATTTCTGAATGTGCTTTTCGGAGTTGAAAAGTTGCCCCATCGTCTGTTTTTTTTTTTAGAATGTGTGCGTAATGTTCTGTTCAACGAGTACGTGCCCTAGTACATACTCTTTAGACTTTGGGGCGCTCTCGGAGACAGCCCTCAAAGGCAAGCACTGATGAATTCGTCGAGTGCTTCTTAAGTAATGAAAATATATGAATAAAGGGGAGGTGGCTTATTGGATACCAAGAAGTGGCAATGAACGAATCAATGCCTTAGGTGCCGGATGGTTGGTTGCATGATCATTCATGAAGGTTGTATTCACTTAGCAGTGGGACGAGCATCGGCTGGCTGTGGGATGGCACAACTCTTTTTTGAAGTTTTTTGAACTTTTTTCCCTTTTTTTTTTTTTTTTTTTTTTTTTTCTTTGAGTTAGTGCTGGAAACCGGGTCCAGGGCCCCTTTACATTGGTTACTCACCCAATTCTTCCTTCCATTATGGTTGAAGGACCCAGAGACTGTGGCACTTATTACCTCTTTGAAAAGGAGGATTTACTTCTTCTTGACCTCTGTGAGAGAATTTTGTCCCTCAGCATACCTGCATAAGGCCCCTGCAACGGGCGCGTGCCTGCGCTAAGTGAAGGCCGGCCACCAAATTTTCAATGAGGCCTCAGTTGGTGAATTTTTGCAAATCTTGGTGGGGGCCAGACAGTTGCCACGTGTCAGTTGGTTACATCCGCCTTGCTTGTGAGAATCAGAAATATTTGTGAGCTGTCCAGGCTCTTCCAGCAACGCGGTCGAAGCAGGGAACACTGCACGTTTCTTCCCGGGTGGTTGGGCATGCCTAACCAATCCGATCCCAGGTCACTGTCTGAACGAGCATGGGATGCAGATACCTGGGCCGAAAGTGAAGCTACCGGAAACTTGGTCCAGCGGGGCAGGCTGCTACCAGCGCCCAGCCACTTTCCATATAGGAAGGTGCTGGGCAACGAGGAGAGCATTCGGCACTTGCGTGAGCAAGTGGCAGCGCTGCTGGAGCGTGAGCTGGCGGCCGGCCGGCTTAGTGCTAGGGGCAAGTGTGCAGGTGTGTGTGGTCGTGCAAGAAGCGGGGCGGTGCTGAGGGCAGCGCCATAGCCGGCCCTTCATAGCCAGGGCTCGGCTTGGTCAGTCAGCAGAGGTGGTGGTGGTCTTCGGTGTATGAGGGAGACGTGGGTGAGAAGACGAGGGTGATGAGTGAGAGGGAGAGATGAGGATGGTGATGTGAGGGCGCACACCTGGTCTTGGCGATGGTATACATGGCTGTTGCTGCTGACGTCAACAGGTTGCATTTGTCAATTCGTAGGCTGGTTAGATGGTGTGTGATCGTAGTCTGGGCGCTGAGCACCAAGTAGGAGGACGGGCTCTGGATACATGCATTGGTGGTTGTGAGAGTATGCTCTCATTGACATTTGGATTCGGTGCTTTGGTTCTCCGTTGGTGGAATATCAGTGCATATCTGCTTTCTGGACAGCGTTCGACTTTCTGGCTTTCAATGTGATTTTGCATTCTGGAATTCTGTCATTTCGCTCTCTCATTTTCCTTGCATCTGTCGAAATCCTAAGATCTATGCCAACGAGCTTAGCTGAGCTGGTACACCCATGAATTTCTGAAAAACAGACCTAAGTTCAATCCTGATGGACCTGGATGGATGGAATGACTAATTCTTTTAAAAAGTCATAAAAAAATCTTAAGATATCTACCATTTATCAACTAGAGCTATTTGTCCTCACATCATATCTTGAGCGAATGGAATTGATTGCTTAAAGAAGGATTGACCGTTGCTCTCTCCTTTCCAATCGTCCCAGTCAACTCCTGTCAAAATCTTCTGGCTTCTCTAGGCCCCCCAGTCTTTGACATCAACTTTTTTTTTTTTTTGGACCATTTTTGTTGATTTATGTGTGTCATCCTTGTGCAGGGGCCATGCTAAATTGCTAATCTTCTCTGTATCGTTCCAATTCTAACGGATGTCCCGAAGGACATCTTTCGGATCAACTTCATCTGCTAGAACCATTTATATGCAGGGCATCGTACCATGAGCGAATGGCAACCATTAATCAGTGCATCATACGCTGAGCCAATGAATTTTTTTAATTTTTTTTTAAGGGGCCATGCTAATCTCTTCTGTAGCGTTCCAATTTGAACGATTGCCCCAAAGGAAAAGAGCCAGTGAGTTTGATTGGTTCCCTCTGGGAATGATTGGCCATTTTGGCTTTTGGAACCTGTAGAGCTATTGTAAGAGTTCGCTGATTCCATCTGCTAACGCCACTAAACTGAAGTATGTGTCCATTGAGATATTCCATGTGATCATTTACTGTCCCTGAGGTAGAAGCAGTAGCATCCCCACCCCAATCAGGAAAAAGCGAAATTTTCCCTTTAGTTTCTGCTGCGAGGATCGAGCCCTCACATTGGCCGCTCGGTCGCGGCCTCCACATGCCGGAGGGGACCCTAGCAACCAATGTGCCCGCCCTAAGTGAAGGCGGGCCTGATTTCGATACAGGGCCCCATTTTTGTCATTTCTGCATTGCTGGGCACCAGACAGTTGCCATGTGCCAGTTGCTTACAGGGCGACACCTGTGTGAGCACACCATGCTCAGCCTCTGGGCTCCCTCCACCAGCAACGTGGCCAAAGGCTCTCGGCCAATGAGAGAACAGGTAGCGACATTGCTGGAGGCCCGACAGCCAAGCAAGTAACAGCGAGTGACAGCAGCCACGTCGCACAGTTGGGCTGCCTCACTGCTGCAGACCCAGGCAACTGTCTGCATGGGCCCGGGCGCAGACACTTTGGCCCAACGTGAAGCTACTGGGCACACCCACACCAGGCCCAGGCAGCAAGAGGCTGGGCTGCACTTTCCATATAGGGAAGTGACTCGCCCAGAAGAGCTTCTGGCCAGGCAGGCAGTGCGGCCACGCTGCTGTGTTGCATCACGAGCAGGCTGCGGTAGCACTGGCCAGAGGCACACTTGGGCGCTGTGAGGTGTAAGGGGTGCTGCGGTGGCAGCGGCGCACTGCAGCCATAGCCGGGCTGCTGGGGCGCATGCCAGTGGGTGATGGTGGTTGTTGTGGGGAGTCGGGGGTGATGAGGGGAGAAGAGGCACGTACTTGGTTGTGCTGGCAGTCTGCGTTTGGCGACATCGTCATCTACATTGGTCTCCAGCTCGAAGTGACTCCTGTTGCAATACGTAGTGTAGGCTAGTATAGGCTGAGTAGAGAAGGCTGGGCGCTGTGCGCCAATCAAGAAGAGCTGCATTGGATATGTTTGTGTGGCGAGAGAGTGTAGACATTGACATTTGAGTTCATTGTATCGCTCTTGTTTGGCTAGTATCTTGGTGCATTGTGCTTTCTGCTTGGTACACGACTATCTGGTCTACAGCGTGATATTGCAACTTGATATCGTCGTATCAGAGCTGATTCAGATATCGCCATACTGGCGGTGGTGTCTTGGAAACTTGGTGCACTGACGAAGCTTCTCGGCAGTAAGGATACTTTGACGCTGGCCGATAGGGTCACCCCCGGGTAGAGGGGAGCGTGACCGGAAGGCTGTGTAGAGAGCAGGTGTGTGTGGAATGACGAGAGCATGCTGACGTGACATTTTGGCTGAGGTGGCACTGCATTGCATTGTGTGTGGTGCCGAGGCTATGACCGGTCGTCAAAATTCACGTTGGCTCAATTGGTGAGAAATCTGTGGCTGGGGGCAGCTATCTTCAGGTGCAATGTTCTCTTACCTTATCTTCCCATCTCATTCTCTTCTTGCTGTGAGGAAGAGAGTTCGGCTTAAGAGTCCTCTTTTGGTTCAGGAGTCGTGAGCACTCTACCTTGAGAGGCGACAGTCTTCCTGGTGGCGCATCTGGTGGGAGAGGGCGGTGCCTCTGAAGGGCCTTGGACGAAGCACGGGTCACGGTCACCATGCCAACCCGAGGTAGAAGAGCACGCATTTGAGCTCTTGCTGCGCATAGAGGGGTGTGGGGTGGGGGATCGACGTGCACAGGACCGTCGTTAAAGATACTCCAACGGGGATACCGACTTATGTGAGGACGAAGTACGGACGAGGCTGGCATGCTCTGCGTTACCTGGGCACATGGGTGGGCCGTTTGCACACCATAGACACCGCTGCTCTGTAGATGCAATCAGGACGTCGGATACAGGGGAGGGAAGGTTACAATTGTTGCTCGATTATTATTATTATTATTATTTTCATTTCTGCATGCATCTGTGCAAGTGATTTATTTTTATTTGATTAGTTGTGGTGTTACGGACTGCTGAAACCTAACAGACAACTTTAGATTAACTGTAGCAGTCTGTCGCTGATGTTTGAGAACTGATCGAAGTAGGAGTAAGATTATTTGCGCAGTTTGTGTATATTTTGTTGACACCACTTGAACGGTAGCCTGGGTGACTTACCGAATATTTAGTTATTTATTTATTTCGCAACTCGGTCAGACACATGCTGTGGTAGGTTCCAATGAGGACATTAGTGCAGACAATGTCTGCTCTAGCTGATGAGTGGAGAAAGTAGTGGGGAGGAAAGGCCTGACGATCAGAGGTTGACATGCCAGGAAGCCCAATGTATTCCTGTAGTGTTTCAGGTTCTCTTACCAGGGGACAAGAGAAGGTTCTGAGCCGAGGCAAGGTCGGTGTGTTTGCAGAGGGCTAGGGAGGCAGCAGAAGCAGCAGAGCGTGTGCTAGCAGCAGCAGCAGCGTTGACGACATGGCTACTTTTGCCGCGACCTCTCAAGGTCAGCAGACGACAGGAATGTTCTCTATATCCCTGTCTCTTATACACATCTAGATGTGTATAAGAGACAGGGACAAGAGAAGGTTCTGAGCCGAGGCAAGGTCGGTGTGTTTGCAGAGGGCTAGGGAGGCAGCAGAAGCAGCAGAGCGTGTGCTAGCAGCAGCAGCAGCGTTGACGACATGGCTACTTTTGCCGCGACCTCTCAAGGTCAGCAGACGACAGGAATGTTCTCTATATCCTTTGTATCATCCAGTGAGATGAGTGCAGAACCTTCTTCCAATTAGATGGCAGGCTCGCAGTACAGCCAGCAACCTCCACCGATTAGAGAGGATATAGAGATCCCGCAAGTAGAACTACTCCGCTTACGGCTAGAGAGAGAACTCAGGGATGCTACCGACAAAGAGAGACAAGCAAGAAGTAGAAAAGCTAGATTGGAGAGCAGAGAGGCGGATAAGGCTGCTTTAGAAGGAATATGAGCGAGAGCGATGGATAGAGAACCAAATTGCAAAATCATG